ACCCACCCACGAATAGTGGGCTCAACCACGTGCAACCCTTAACTTGGTTTGACACGGTCGATCGCCGTGAGTTTATGGCGTACGAACAGGCTGTATAGCTTTCGCTTTGACATGCTGCTCAATTGAGAAATAGAGATCAGAATTCTATGAATTCAACTCATTGTAGCGAGTTTTTGTAGAGGTATACCAAAATGGGACCGGCCAAGAAGTACGTACGGTCACTACTCGACACCCCTGTTGACACCTTGAGTAAGGCCGCCATCACCCATTGCATCTCAGCAATTGACGGACAGTGGGTGTTATGTTGTCTCTTTAACGGTTAGTTAAAAATACTATGCCACGAAACATTAGTCTTTGTACTTCAAAACTGCTGTCAAAACACAATAGAAATTTTGGGAGCCATCCAAGTACCCGCGACTTAGCCGAATCGCGACTTACCGAGGCGCGACTTAGCGAGGGGCCACTGTACTTCAATTCTTGTAATAACAAGCGATGATTAAGATAGTGTAATATGGTGATGCTATTATTATCATTGTAAAATTATCCCAAAATTACGCCATTTTAATACGATCTATTGTTTATATTGTAATATCCCAAGATTATGCTATTTCAATACAATATATTGTTTCTATTGTAATATGCCAAAATTATGCTATTTCAATACAATATATTGTTTATATTGTTGTATGCCAAAATTATGCTATTTTAATACAGTTTATTGTCTATATTGTAATATCTCAAAATTATGCTATTTTAATACCATCTATTGTTTATATTGTAATATCTAAAAATTACGCCATTTTAATACAATCTATTGTTTGTATTGTAATATGCCAAATTTATGCTATTTCAATACAATACATTGTTTATATTGTAATATGCCAAAATTATGCTTTTTAATACGATATATTGTTTATATATCCGAAATTTGTTTATATTGTAATATCCCATAATTATATTATTGTAATACATTATATTCTTTATATTGTTTATAAGCCAATATGATGCTATTGTATTAAAATATATTGTTTTATATTACTATAGGCCAAGATGACATTACTGAAATACAAAATGCTCTTTCCTACTGGAAAAGACTAACATGCCTTAAGTTCCCGCAAGATGACCCAGCAAACCCGGAGCACTCAGCGAGAATACAGTTCATAAAAGCAGTCGGGTAGAGTTAATGCATGTTCTTTACATTACAAGTCGTTTTTGAGTCGTTTTGTTCCTTGAAAAATCGTTTCCATAACATCGTCTTATTGTGTAGTGTTTTCCATTTGTGTCTTATTTTCTGTCTACTTCTATGAATTCGTTATCCTATTCTGAATTGGTCAACGTGTTTGCCATGAACCTGCTTATCGTTTAATTGTAAACACAATTATGTTTTAATATTTGTTTGACAGTAGTTTTCTTCATTTTTTACTTTTACATTTAAGGATGCTGGTCTATGGTTGGACGTGTTGGTAACGGAGCTCAAAATATTTCGGAACCGGTTGTACAATTGCGAGTAATGATTGTGTTGAATGGTATCAGTGTACGTCTAATACAATTTAGTATTTACGATATTGAGATGAAACTAAATTTATATATGAGTATAACTGTATACCTGTATATCAGAACAAAAATAAGTGGATTTCGAATTAAATATTGTTCATAACGTCTGCACTTGTCTTTAATAGTAAATCACAGGGGGGTCAGTGTTGGTAAGAAAATGGACACCGTTCACTATTTTGATTGGGATTTCAAAGTATAGAATAAAGTCCTTTATGAGGACTCTCCTGTGATATGAAGTCCGACCTAAGATAAAATGTCAAAGCCGCAGGGACCAGAACAAAATCAAGTACAATGATTTGAGATTAGACTTTGGGATAAACAGACAAATTAATTGTGAACACAAAGGTTACAATTTGGCACGGGGATTGATCAAACAGGTTAGATTGTGGCATAAACAGACATGGTGATTTATCAAACAGATTAGATAAACAATATAAACGGGGATTGAACAAACAGGTTAAAATTTTGAATCAACAGACACCTGGATTTCAAATAGTTTAAGTGTAGCATAAACAGACAAATGGAGTGATTCGACATTTTTAATTAACACTTTGATATGAATAAACATCTCTTCTTATTAACTTGTGAATGATAATTGCGCAAAAATGTCAGCAACTTGTAAACTTTCATTCTATATATATATTGTACTGAATTCGAATTGTTGAAAATATTGACTTTTATATTGAAATATGGTTTTCATTCCATTGCTATATTTCTATATTTCATTCCATTAGTTCGACGATCACACAATTTATTGTTTTTTTTTTTTTGTTTTTTTTTTTGTGGCAAGAAGGTAACAGTAACGTTTTTATTTTCCTTATGTATTTCTCTAACTAGAAAGGAATTATTGTACATGAAGTTGGTCATGCAATAGGATTATTGCATGAGCAAAGCCGTCCGGATAGAGATAATTATGTTATAATAAACGAGGAAAATATTATACCTGATGCAATCCACAACTTTCACAAATTTGGATAGCTGAAACATACAACGTGCCATACGACGTAGGATCGATAATGCTTTATAGGCAAAATGTAACAAACATTTTCTGTTTCATAAATTTTCTGTCGAATTTCATTGGGTGGATATTCAATGGTTTGTTTCATTGAAATACTTGAGTTTGTAAAGTGAATATTCTATGGTTTGTTTGTGGAAATTCAATGATAAGTTACGTGGATATTCCAGGGTTGGCATATATCAGGATTCATTATATAAATATTCTATGATTATCGAGAATAATGCAGTGGATATATGCATATATTCCTTATGTCGTCTTAGTGATTTGTAAGATGCAACTATGATATGATTGTTTTGTTTTTTCAGGAATTCAGTGTCAATGGTCTGAACACAATAGATGCAATTAACGGGGATGATCAATCAAAAATGGGTAATCGTGATTACCTTACCGAAGCTGATATTGAGATAGTTAATATCATGTACAGTTGTCCATTGAGTATTATATATATATATGATTTGTTGGAGAACACAATGCGTTATAAACATCCCAGGAGCAAGTGTACCACGAGATTTTGATCAATTTGTTCCTATTACGTATACTCAAATAGATAAAAAAAATCCTTCTACTCCTCCTTTGAACCCAAAATACCTCAAAGTTGCAATATTCTTCTATACGCGACCTAAATAATATTTTCTTTTTTCCGATTTAAATCCAACCCTACTGTGTGTTATTCATGTTCCTACTTTTAAACGCAAAACAACTGTTGCATATCATGTAATTAACCACGGATTGCATAATTAAAACACGCCCTGAGCAATAAAAACATATTTATCAGGCAATTGAATTGTTGGTATATTATAATATGTATTGAGTGATTGTACTGCCATTTTTAAATGATATAATACAGTATGAAATGTTTTAAATGGTTAGATTATTGATTATTGCTCTTCCGGTTGTCCTTGGTCTGATGATGGTGAATGCGACGAGTTATGTCCGTGTACAATGTATGTAACTATGGCTCAGACTGTTCAGATTGTGGAATTAGACCTCATCCACGTAAGTATTGGATTGCTTACCAACATATTTTTTTAATATTTTTATTACCAATCGTTTGTAATCTTCAATTTCCTGAATTTATCTGCAACAATTTTGTATTGTACAGAATGCAATAACGAATGCAAATGGAATGCCGATGGTATGTGTGACGATGGGGGCTCTAACTCTATGTTCAACGTATGTGATTATGGTAGCGACTGCAACGACTGTGGAGTTAGAGATGATGCGAGTACGTATATTTAGTGCATGTGGCGTCTATTCTGGTCTCACTACTTTTCGAGTAACATTGATATGGTTAATGAACTAGAATAATGTAAATATATATATACCATTAATAATGATTATTCAAATATATTATTCAGTCTGTGACACACTGTGTAACTACAATGATGATGGTGAATGTGATGATGGTGGTCCAAATTCAGATTGGAATGTATGTCCATTTGGATCTGACTGTATAGATTGTGGAATCAGAGGTATGACACATTGTACTTATATATATATATATATATATATATTGGCTCTCATCCATGTGATAACCAGTTTGACGCTTTGTAACAACTTTGTACCTAATATTTACAGTTGGGGCGACAAAACGATCTCTGGAGCAATAAGTGCCACCGAAAGAGACGAGTGATGGGAAAAAGAAAAACGCAACTTCTTCAGAGAACTGAATACTTGCAGTTACATGTTAAACATAGTTTAGTTGAACCATTGTAAACGAAATTCCAATAAATATTATTGCAGATAATCATTTCCTGGAATATTACGATATGAAGTAATTACTTACATCCACCAATCAATAATTACGATCAAGGTTACACCTTCGGCTACAGCAGTCAGGACGATAACCATGGTTACCAGACCAGCTTCCGGTATACCAGCAGCACCAATACTGGCTACAGTTGCCGTGATGCTGGAAATAATATAATAACAAGAGACCTGATAATACAATTATGTGACGGAACGTATTAGCTATACCACGATATGAAATAATAAGTGCATGATTTAGAATAAAGTCACTACGCATTTGAGATGTGATAACATATTCTTGGAGTAGGTGGGATTGAAAGCATAATAATAGAGGTACGCCAAAAAGAGGCATACATCAAATAAAATACGCATAGTAAGTTTGAGTAACAAGACACGAATGTCACCATTCCCGTTATTTAATTTTAAAATACTCATGGTAAAATAATACATGGAACATCTGCAAACAATTGAATTAATATGTACTCTATGTGGATACAACTCATCATAAAGTGATTTCCCTCAATCTGAAAACTTTCATTGACCCAGGTTCAAAATCTCAGAGTACACAAGTTTAACCAAACTATGTCTCATACATGCTCAAGAAACTGCATTAACCTTGATGTACCTTTAATAACAACTTGACTTCTTTGTTAATTCAGGTCTTTGTATATTACCAGGACCTGGGTTTGTTATATTATTATATTATCATCACTGTAATGTAGCCTTGACACCCCTCAAGTTTCCACTGTGATTGGTAATGGTACGACCCTTCTGTCACTGATTCAGATCAAGGTCATGACCAGGTCATGACACCACTAAAAACCCTACCATTACAATTTAAGCTAATTATTTATTTTGAGCATGCTCAGTTGCTCTGTCAGTGCAGTAGGGAGAGGTAATTTTAGATGACTTGTTCATCAACCTGCCAAGTTTCATCGATATCTGCTGCAGAAAATGTTAGAGACGCCACAGACGGGAAAATTGAAATAAGAATTAATAGTCCGCCTTTCAGGCTGCACCTTAAACGGGGACTAAGAAGACTATTTCATAGTTGCGTTTGTATATTGTCACGAGATGGCATATATATGACGGCCCAGTACCGGATAAAATGTAATGTGCAGGGTCTTCAATATAATTGTAATTGGCAACCAGTGTTTCTATTTCACTTCAACGGATACAGTAAAGGGTATACAGTTGTGGGCGTTTTTAACTTTTTAAAAATATACATTTTTATAAACCAAAATGGGTTCTAGAATTCAAATTGATCAATTCGAATATGGTATTGTGACACCAACGTTAATTATAATTAATATTAAAGTTTAAGCCAATCCTACTCACCTGATAATTATATATCCTCCAATATCAGGCACACCTGATTGCATGAAGATTGATAAAGATTGCAGCAACGGCCTCGTAGAGGGCGGTGCCACCCATGTTAATAGTGGCCCCCACCGGTTGAACATATTGCGTCACTCGTTTATCCAGACCTGTTTTTGTTTTTAAACATCGAGTGGTCACTATCGATGTCGCCGAGCTAAACGAATCAATGAAAGAAGTCACACGTATTAGTCACGAGAATGTATATCCAACTCACCAAATTGTTATTGTTATAATTACTAAGGGCTACTTTATTTAAGATGGTGATCTAATTTTTTTTTAGATCTGTTGGATATGATTTCTCATTTCTCTCTTCATAATTCAAAGCCTTTATGATGCTTGAGGTTCTGAGAATGCAACTTTAACACGATGGCGCATTTCTTAATCATTAATTGGGCTAATCGATTTAGCCATGAAACCACAGTGTTTACCTGTACTGTACATTTTCGTAAAACAATACAATTTTTAACTGAATGATTTTTAGTAATTTTTCGTTACGTGATTATAGATATATATTCCCTGGGAAATAGAAACATGCACATTTCTCATTGCCAAAATACGGATAACACTTATAAAACATGCATAGTCGAGTGTTTTAACTTGAAACATTACATGTGTGTTTGTTCACTAAATGCGGACTAATAAAATCCGTTAGGCTACGAGGTATTTAATTCACCACGTGTCTCGTTTTCTAGTTATACTAATGTTGGTAAGGCCATATAGGCTGGTGCTTGACAAAAAGATTATTTTCTGGAGGTAATATCATAAACCATCTCATTATGCGTTGAATTACATCACTTTCGGTGATTGCCTTGTTGGCTTATATACCATAATGTTTACTCACAAATAACTCCCTAAAACACGTTTCTAAAAATACTGAAAGATTAATGTTTTGATAGAAAATCCAGGTGTTATATTATATAATACACATGTTTTCAATTACAACAATGTGTTTTCAACTAAAACGGTGCGTTTTAATGAAAAACATGAAAGTGCTTCCAAGATGTACAGTGTGCCTGACAAATTTGTTTTTTTACACTGACTTTCATAGGATCATACATATATAAACACACCATTAAATGTGAAGACATTAATTCACGCTACGGGATGAAGTTACTGGCGTTAAGACCATCAGTCAACACAATTAATATAACAATATGTCGCTTTTAAATTTAGAATTAGCCTGGTCAGCTAGTGCAAACACATGTTTCCCAAAAATAACTGACGTTTATTTTTAAAACACATTTCATCA